TGTACCTCTGGTGCAAATTACTGACCTCTGTCATCATTTTAAGTGGGGGAACTTGCACAATCGGTGGCTGACTAAATACTTTTTTGCCCCACTGTATATATAATGACTCATTCAATTCAATTCAGTTTTATTTATAAATACCAAATTACCAGTCCAACCCTATTTATGGGTTACTTTAAAAAAAAAAAGGAAGAAGGTTCACAAGGTATTACAGGAAGCAAAGGAATTGATTAAATAAAAGAGAAAACAGCTGCACTTTAAAGGCTCGAGGTACAATTCTGCATAAATTATTCATAAGCAATCCATAAAGGTTAGTTATAAATATATTTAAAATAGATTAAATCACTGAGTCCTCCAAATTTGACCACCACCTCATCCACACTGGATCAAACTCCTATGGTTCCTCCCGTCGGTTGTGTGCATAGCAGGGCTGACCCATGTGCCCTGGCTGATCATCATCGGGAAAGGCCAGACTACCAGACCCACTACCACTGTTGCCTTTTCCATAGTGTTCTAAAGAACTGCTTTTAGCATTAGTTTTCCTTGGGAGACCCTATACTACAGACAAACTGCCACCTGCAACAAATCACTATTAACTATGGCAGACAAATCCCCCCCCACCCCCCCCACCCCCACCCCCAATAGAATTACTGGTTTTGGAACACTGGGTGTTCCCCCAGAGGAACTGGTCCATTGGAAGTGGGGGGTGAAGGGTAAAACCTATGTAATACTGAGCAAAGTGAAGGACAGAAAGAGGAAACAAGCAAACAGAAAAGTATAAAAGAAGAAGTGGATTCTACATAATCACTGACACTCTCCAGGCAGTTGTTTAAAAGATGGCAAGAGTTGCCCATAGAGAGCAACTAGAGATTACTATGGATTATGCAAATCTGCCTGATGTGTCAGCCAGAAGTCGCTCTAATAAACACAGTCAAGGGGCTGCTGCTGCTGCACCAGGTAAGAAATAAATCATTTTGAATTTTTCTTTAATAGCAACGAAAAAAACACACTTTTAAAGGTATATTTTAAATGAAGCAATAATTGATGTACACGTGTTACTGATGTATACATATTTTGCAATGAAAACTCTTACTGATCTAATATGTAATTTTATTCATTTTGCTGTTTTGTGAGCTAATAATGAGCTTTTCTCTCTTCTGTATTTATTTGGGCAGCACGGTGGTTAGCACTGTTGCCTCATAGCAAGAAGGTCCTGAGCTCAATTCCACCATCAGGCTGGGGTCTTTCTATGTGGAGTTTACATGTTCATCCCGTGTTTGCGTGGGTACTCAGGCTTCCTCCCACAGTCAAAAGACATGTAGTTAGTGGGAATAGGTTAATTAGAAAAACTACATTGCCAATAGATGTGAGCGCAAATCGTTGTCTCTGTCTATGTGTTAACCCTGTGACATACTGGCGATCTGTCCAGGGTGTACCATGCCTCTTGCCCCAAGACAGCTTGGATAGGCTCCAGTGCCCCCTGCGACCCTGAAAAAGGATGAGCAGAAGCGAATGGATGGACCCAAAACCTCGAATTCCTAGAACTCAACTTTTTTTGAATGAATGAAGAAGTCAGTGCCACCAAAATGAGAAGATTTTTGAAAAAAAACAAAACAAAACAAAACAAAACAAAACAGGAAATGTTTAGAAACTTTGGCAGAGTGACAGCAGAATGTAGAACTCTGTTCTCCATTTCTGTTTATATTAGTCAATTCCTACTCTACCAAACTATCATTTATGAACATAACTAACTGCTATTGTGCATCGAAGTGAATTCTAATTTAATGGGTATTTAAAAAAAACAAAGACATAAGTTCTCATGTACAGTAATGCTGGGGGTGGAGAGTGAACCAAGGTATGGGATGTATAGCTATATACAGAGCAATTGAGTAAACAACAAAAAATATTTTCACAGAACTGCACAGAAAAAAAAAAATGTAGACCATCAATACTACAAACGCATAAGCATACAGAAACTTGCATCGAAGGTGCTCGTGGGTTACAGGGAAAGAAGTGCCATGCTGTGTCCATCTTCTGCATTCTGTTCTCTCTTTCCTTTGCAAAACCACTACACATTCTTACTCCACCATGCTCGCAAATTGATGTAACTGTTTCAAGTTTTACAGTTGTTTTTACATAACTAATCCCCATAATTTTCAACTAAAATGCTTTTACCAGGATCGTCGTCCACATAAAGAAATTTCATTTATAATAACTTTCCAAACAATCACTGTTTATACTGCATATTCCCCTAATATTTAAATGAAATCATGGAAATGCAGATATCTTTCAGTTTTGTGAGTTTGTCAGGTTTCGATGAGTAAGGTTAGCCCAAAAATTCTGCAGACCTGTTTCTTTAAAGAGGCTACTTAAAGAGGACTTTTTATATGGTTGTGTTGCAGGGAGAAAACTAGCCAGACTGGTTGCTGTTAGCTTTGGACTCCTGTGTATCCTCCAAGCTGCCATCAACATCTCCCTGCGTTTTGCTTTCTGTAAGTAGCGTAATTAAACGTTTACAAACTTTTTTTAAAAAAAATCAGATATTGGAACAGAGTACTACCCTAGTTTAGTTTTGTTGTTGTTGTTTTATCACTGTGTACATCATTGATTAATGACAAGATGAAACATTTGTAGTCCTGTGTCTAGTTTTCATTTAGCTCACTAATACTGAGGGCAAGGAATTGTAATATGTACTGCTAGAATTAATAGTTGTTTGACATTCAGACAGAGAAAAAAGATTTGGGGAAGTTTAGATTCAAAAACTTCAAGTCAAAATGCAACCAAAGAACCCCTAAAGATTGCGTTAGAAAAAGAAAGGGACTTTCCAGTTAAAGTCATGTTTCAGTTTTTGAGTACCAAAAAACCAAAATAAAGCCATAGTCATAAGGTACTTACATTTCACTGTGACACAAAATGTTTTCCAGTATCGGTTTGAAGAAAAAGTAATTTTAGGTTTTTTTGTAGGGAGGGCTTGTCGTACATTCTGTTGACAACATGTTTCTGCTTTTGCAGACAGTAAAACATCATGTATTAAGACAGTGGAGACCGAAGAGCTGAAAAACCTCACTGGTAAGCATGAGTTTGTAAACTTTGTAAAGAGGCCTTTCATACACATATATGTATATATACTAAGGGTTAATAATATCAACACTTTGGTATACCTGGGTATCATGTAGGATATATTACAATAAATGAGTCTTTTTTATCGCTAATCAAATTAAGGCAACATTCTCAAGCTGTAAAGGATATTTACATTCAAATGGTTACAGCAGGATTTTGTTCTGTGGTAGGCGGCATGATTTTATTCACCATCTAGTTAAATGAAAATTTACACCAACTTAAACTTAACATGTTACAGCGTTTTACATCTCACTTTTTGTATTTGACTATTTTTACCCTTGCAAGGCCCTTCCTCATTAGCAAACATTGTGTAAGTGCTGTAAGCAAGACTTACAATACTTAAAGGAGATCTATTTAGCTCATGTCCAGCTTTATAATATAATAATATATTAATAATATATTCTTGGACTCTGCTTAAATTGCTGTGCTTTTCGCAGTCTATAATACCTCTTAGGCCTCTTATGTTCAGCATTCTTGCGGCCTCTTGGTTTATCTTTTATTTAAAAAACAAACACTTTCCCTTAAGAAGACTCAGAGCATTTGAACCGTGACCACAAAGGCCCTGGGTTGACCTTATTAGGAATATCATCTCTAAATGACAACATACTGATCACAGCAAATTAATAAATAAACAAATAAATAAAGCAAAGACCGCCTCTGAAGTCTGATAATTTTGCTTAAAGAGATTTTTTACATAAGCTGACTATTTAAAATGTTCTAATTTTTAACAGGAGCCAAACTTTAGAATAAAACTGTTAATGTAAATTTATGTGTTAATCTCTGAAATATTAAATGTTGTTTTTTTTCTCCAACAACAGATCAATATTTTCAACAAGGATGGGTCTATTTCCGCCCAAGTTTCTATTATATTTCCTCTATTGCGAAATCCTGGAAAGACAGTAGAGACGACTGTTTACAGAGAGGTGCAGACCTGGCAATTATCAACACCAAAGAAGAGCAGGTTTGTGAATGTGACGTAATAATAATGGAAAGAAATTCATAAATACGTGATTAGTTCCAATTAATTAATTATTTACTTTTGATTTGCTAGGACTTTACGAGAAACTTTAAAAAAGTCATGTGGATTGGACTAACTGAGACAGCCATCAAAGGGACATGGAAATGGGTGGATGGGACTCCACTGAGCAAAAGGTTTATACATTATTGTTTTATTCTACTTTAATCAGTGGCAAAACTAAGGCTACGTTCACACTGCAGGTCTTGATGCTCAATTCCGATTTCACACTACAAATAAAATGCGACAGCAAACGCGCTCTAGTGTGAACGCTCAAAGCGGCCCGCATGCGCAAAAGAAGACGCCACACACAACGGCTCTGTTTAGACCCAGAGCAAATAATATTGTGTGACTGATGGCCCTTAATATAAAGACTTCGGACTTTACGTTTCCCAATTTTTGCATAAGTTATTTTGTTATTTACATAATAATGTAAATAACCTAATAATTATCCCCATTGCTGTTTTAGAGAAGCGGTGCTTCAAAGGATAGTTGCAGATTTCTGTCAGAATCTGCAGATTATACAGTACAAATAAAATGTTTACGTTGTCTTCCCAACAGTTTCACTGACATCTACACGGGATGGCCAGGAAGCGTTCACAATGTCTTCTCTGGCGCTGATAATAGGTGTCTGTCTTGTGTCGGTGACGTAAAAGACGGATTTAATGCGACTTGACCGTTCAAACAGCAGTCGCTTTCTAAAACATCGGATATGTATCGGATTCAGTACCACATACGAAAGTGACCCAGATCGGATTTGAAAATATCGGATTTGCGCGTTCACACTGTCATAACATGATCGGATATGGGTCGCATAGGGTCAAAAATATCGGATTTGATGCGCTTTCGCCTGCAGTGTGAACGTAGCCTAATGCCCTCACATATTGTTGTCCAGATTACAATACTGCCGTTTATTTAAGGAAGCTATTTGAATTTTCTAACTTTCTAACTTGTCCACATTATAGTGAGCTGCATGCATCCTGGATTAAATTCTCTGTTTTGTTTGTTTTTCAGTTACTGGGGACCTGATGAACCCAATGGTTTTGAAGGAAAAAATGAAGACTGTGTCGAAATAAATTTTTTTGATTTCGAAAACAGCTGGAATGACATACCATGTGAAAATCAAAACTTCTGGATCTGTGAAAAGAAACTGGTTTCTTAAGTAAGCCAGTAACATCGTGCAAATACACTTCCTCATCTGAAGGCTTAAAATCACATTTCATGTGCAAATGCCTAAAAGCTGTCTCACAATCCTTTGACTGCATACTGCATATGTGAGCAGTGATATTGCATATGTGCATATGAATATGTGATATTGATGAGATAGTTTTGCTGTTTTTCAAACTCACACACACAATTTGTGAAGTGCAGTAAGTTTGATCACACAGTTCAACATCTTAAATGACTAAAATAACTAACAACTACAAAGTCTGGTTGGTATGTTTAATTGTCTGCAATTTCTCTTTTTACATGTTGAATTTTCTTTGCTGCATAACAAGGACGACTTTGACAGCACTCTTACAAATACTCAGAACAAGAACTCACAGAACATCTAAGAGTTGTAGATTGAAGTGGAAGATAGAAGTTGAGAAAGTCTCTCGGATCCATTTATAAAACAACTACAGATTTCAAGACAATTGGTTCAAACAAATGTGTAAAAGTACAAGTTATTCCAAAGAGTAACCACTTTGCCAAGGTCTCAAAATAGACCTACACGCTCACATTTAAATGTGACAAAAATGCAAGGAACTAAGAAATCAGGAAGGGCACAAATTGTTTTTTCAAAGCACTGTATGTAACGGTCAATAAATGTATTTACCAATAATCATGCCTCTTCTGTCCAAATGCAACCTTGAAAGATTAATGCATGCTCTTATAACCTTTCTGCCATGTACTTTTTTATCAGAATTTGCCAGGCCTGCATTGCTTGCCTACGGCTGGTGTAAAATGCTGCAGCTTGATTTTTATGTGGTGCAAGCAAGCAAGATCATGCCACCTCAAATCTTAGCCTCCCTTCACTGGCTTCCAGTTTGTTTACTAATCTATTTTAAAAGGCTTGTTGTGGCCCCTTTTATCTGTGCCAGCTGCTGGAAACACATGTCCCGTCTCGTTCTCTAAGATCAGCAGACCAGATGCTTTTGCTCGTTCCAAAGATGCAACACAAACTCAGAGGTGATAGAGCTTTCACAATTTCACATCAGACTTCTCTCTTTGCCATTTTTAAATCTCTTTTGAAGACACACTTTTACGCCCTGGCCTTCGGACCAGTTGAAAAGTTCACTGTCATCTTGAGTTACTTTTTGTGTACTCCTTTATTGTTTAACTTCTACTTCTTTTTTGTGTTTCTATATCTGTTACCCTCCGGCCTGTGTTTGTCTTTTATGTTTGGTGATATTGATAGGCCATGGTGGTGTTTTTAAAAGTGCTTAATAAATAAAGTAATACGGTATTGTATGGTATATTTAAAATAGAAGCGGCAGTCAAGTAGCTGCTGCAAACAGGTTAAACAGAAAAAGACAGTCACCTTTAAAAATAATTGCATCAGTCATCAATTTCCTGTTGAGCAGAGACACATAATTGGGCCTCTTTTAGAAGGTGTTCCTTATTAGAGTATTAGACAGGCACTCTCTACAAACTGCCACCTTCACATTAGACATCGACAGTTCTAGAATGGAAATGGATAATATCTATGCTAATGTTGACGGATTTTCAGGAAAACACAGCAGGAAGAAGTGGGAGACAGACGATTCACAAAATGTTTATGGTAATGTGTTGCTTCACAACCAAACTGATGCTGCACCCTCAGGTAATACATCTGTTGAGGAATATAACACATGTGTTTGAAAACCTGATTGAAAGTTTATGAATTTTTGTGATAATTTAAACCCAGGTGTTGACTGACGTGATAACACTGCAAAGAAATAATTGTTAGATCCAGCACATAGGTTTAGAATTCGAGTCAGCTTAGAAGTGTAATTTTTGTGACTGGCAACCCCAGAAAACTATATGTACAGACCAAGTTAATACATACAGTGTTTGAAATAAGGCAACAATATGGTATGTCATGCACGTAAGTGTAAATAATGCAGTGTAAGTACACAATGATTTGGTGACTGGGTTTGAGTTAGTGTCACAGTAAATTTTTTCATGTACGCTTCTGCAATGATCAACTTCTGCTGAGGTAAGTGTGCAAATATGTGTATAAATTTAGAACATGACTTTTTAAAAAGATGATCATTTTTCTTCTTTGACCCACATTAAAGAAGAAAAAGCAAAAAAAATTAATGTGGTCTAACTTTTTTCAACCCTGTACTAATGACATAAAAACGATGTAATAATTAATTTCATATTAAAAAGGTAAAAGATAAATGAATAACATGTGATTACCAAATAAATACCCAAGAAAGCCTACCAATGATAACTTCTGCTATCAGTACTATCACTATTAGTCTAACATTTATTATGGGAAACACATTCAAGTGAATGAGATGAAATAATTTAGCAATGCCTAGATTATATTTGGGTAACAGTATCATAGCTTGCTAATAATAATACTGAATTCTATTTGTATTTGGATACAAATAGTAAGGTAGCCTCAAGAGAAAACTGAAACCTGCGCTGAGGTAATGAAAACCAATGCTTGTACTGATGAAAGCTGTGCTGGCTTTTATTCTCATGTCAAAATTCAACTCACTCTAATAGATGTGATGTGAAGCTTTGATAAAATGTACATTCATTTGGAAGCAAACAAATAATACATTTCTGGTTTTCTTCAGCGTCTGGACATGCAAAGGATTCCTGCAGAGCTGCTATAGTGTTTCTGGCTCTGTTGTGTCTTCTCCTCCTGGCTGGACTCATTTATATGGTTTTCTTATGTGAGTATTTTTTTGGTATGCTGATGATGCCCTAAGGAGATAACTCTGGTTGATTTTTTTCTTTATTTGTTTATGTGTCAAATGCAGATACCAAGAGCAACTCTGATTGGAAAATGGAAAAAACTCTGTTACAGAACAGTTACAACAATCTGACTGAAGAAAAAGACCAGTTTCAGAACAGTTACAACGATCTTTCTAAAATAAAGGACCAGCTAGAAAGTGAATATAACTCCCTTAGTGATCAAAGTAATAAGTTACGCTCCAGTTATGAAAGCCTTGAAAATCAAAGACTCCAGTTAGAGACAAAATACCAAAACCTCAGTGATCAAAGACGCCAGTTAGAGATAACATACGAAAACCTTTATAATGAGACCAGTTTCAATAATCTGGTTCAACAGATAGAGCAACTACAGACACGACTGGAGTCCATGGCCAAAGCCAAAAATGATAATCAGTGAAAGCTGGAAGATTACTATCTTTCATCTCCTCTCAACAACGAAAACACTCATTTTAACTGGGAAAAAAAACAGAAGTCTATAAGAAGAAACAATAACGGCATTCATATGTTCCAGTTATCTTTAAACTTATATCATTATACCAAATTATGTGCAGCAGCTTGCAAAACCTCGGTAATATCATAACCGCTCAATAACCTTTGTAATAACTGATGATTCGATTTGTTCATAAGAAGAAAGAGTTGTAATTAAAAGCTCCAGAAACAGCAAGTAAAATGGACTTTGTGATGAAGTCAAAGGGAGAGTTTTAGAAAATAAGCACAATACATAAAATTAAAATTTAAGATGTGACATTAAACGGTCTTTACTGATTACCGTCTACCATTCTGTAAATACACTGCTCCAAAAATTAAAGGAACACTTTTTAATCAGCGTATAGCTTCAATTCAATTAAACTTCTGTGATATTGATCGGGTCAGTTAAGTTGCAAAGGGGTTGTTAATCAGTTTCAGCTGCTTTGGTGTTACTGAATTTAATAACAAGTGCACCAGAGTGGCAGCAATGAGTCAACCTACTCAATTCAATTAATAATTATTGATATAGCTCCAAATCACAATAACATTCAAGGTGCTTTATATTGTAAAGTAAAGACCCTACAATAACACAGAAGGGTTTTACAGCTTTTAAGTTTTTTGCCTTCCTCTTCTTCTTAAACTGTTTTTTCACTAGTTTTGTATTTGGCTGGGGTCAGTGTCACTATAGGGCAGGGATAGCTCAGTAGGTAGAGTGGTCGTCCCATGATCGGAAGGTTGAGGGTTCGAATCCACTGAACGGCTACCCTGAGGTACCCCTGAGCAAGATACCGTCCTTACACACTGGTCCCTGGGTGCCTGCTTAGTGGCTGCCCACTGAGTGAATGGGTCAAATGCAGAGAAAAACAAGTAATTTCCCCACGGGGATCAATAAAGTATACATTATTAGTATTATTACTACTGGTAGTAGAGGTCAATATTTCGAGCCTTAAGCGGCTGCACAGAAAACAGCACATGCCTTTGCCAGAAGGTTTTCTGTGTCTCCCAGCAGTCTCAAGAGCATGGAGGATTTTCCTGGAGACACACAGTTACTCTCATGTGTTTTGAAAGTCCCCCCTTTGGTTGGCATACACTTCTGCATCTAAATGCATAATAACCACTTTCCATGTGTTTGCATCTGCACTGTACATATAAGCATAGATTTTTAGTAGGGAGCATGATAATTTACAACATGCAACTCAGTACTGTTGCTATCAGTAGCTAGATTAGACTTTATGGGAATATCTGGATATTGAGTTGATATAGACTTCAGAGGGACTTTTCTTAACAAAGACTCACATTAATTAGTCTTTGTTTATATTCTTGTCTTATATTTTACCCCCCAAAAAACTTCATTGCAAATAATTTGTGTACTAAATACTGAATAACAGAGTCTAAAAACACATTTTGTTTTGTTTTGGGGGGGGTTTTCTAAGCTTATAATGATGTGTTAGGCAAGAAAAGTATTGTCTATTATAATATTTGACTGAAAATAAAACCGCTTTGATGGAGCTTTACTTCAAATTGTAATTTAAATTGTAAATTTTTTTGTCCACGTTGACTTATGGTGTGCTGACAGTGTGTATGTTAGATTATTATTTTTTCAACAGGAAGGTCAGTGTTAAGACTTTTTAAGTTATCAGTTGTAAAAATTAACATTAACAATTAACATCTTGTATCTTGTTGTTGTTACTTTTTCAATACCAGCTTTCCTGTTTTAATATAAATGTATCAGCCAAAGTTAGTTGTACTGCACTGCATGTGTGATGGTTCATGTGGAAATAAAATCAGCATTAAAAACAAACAAACATTATCTGTATGGGTTAAAGTGGGCCAGAAGGATCCAGAACAGTATTCCAGCACCTTCACTTGAGTGAGTTATTAAATTTGACTGGAAAGTTT